TTTTACTCGAGTAAAGAAGTTGATTCTGTACTTCAACTTTTACAGTAATATTTTTTAATAGTAGTATTTGTACTTCTGCTTGAGCACAGAGTATCTGTATTTTTGCCGACTCCGCTGGTGGAGCGCAGCTGATTAAGTGATCAAACCCGTACACCCCAAAAGTCCTGTAAAGAGAGAGAGTATTACTTCTTTGATGGAAACCACCCCGATGAGGCGTCCGATCCTGGTGACGTAGGCGTGGTCGAGGCCCAGCTGAGAGAAGATGGTGTAGGTCTGCAGGAAAACAGCAGAGGTCTGTAGGTAAAAACTTTCTTCTTACCTAAAGTCCAGTTTGGAAAATGCACCACTTATCTTAATTATCCAAACTTCACCGATATCACGTTTGATTCATTCAACCTGTCACATTTTCAGCTAAATGGGATTTTATGGGAACCAACACGGTTAACAAAGTACACCTGTGGACAGAAGACTCTCTATTAACTCGACTTGATGGCTTTAAGAAATGTTTGAAGCTAATCAAAACACATTTGTTTAATCTGCACATGCGACCTGCCCGCAGGATTGGGTGCATTATGTGTGTTACGGAAATAATATAGGCTACTATTTTGTTAAGTCTAGTGAGGCAGTAATATGGGCTGCGGTTAGCATATATACAACACTCATCATGAGCATGAGCATCATGGTGGCTTTTAACGATTTCTTTGAACGGTTGAATGATTGCGCAGCACCTTTAAAAAGCAGGAACAGAATCAGATCTGTTTAGGATTTTCTCCACACATGTTCAACAGTATACACTGGCTCAACACACTGACTTAAATCTTTAAATAAGTGCTGCTGAAAGTTGGACGATGTCTTTCAACTTTAAAAGGCAGGATCTGTTGACATTTGTCTATAACCGAGGACTGTCAGCAGACAGTTAAAGTGGCAGCTCGATGAGGACCATTCACACATCTGTGAAGCCACTAATATCGGTGAATGACACATGCTGGTTTTGGAGTTAGTAGTGGTTTTCGTAAGGACCTTGCTTTTTCAGCAAAACAATAGTTATTCTTTTTTTCTTTTCTTTGCAGTTGATCTGTATCTGAGATGTGTTTGTTTTTCCTTTGTTTTTTCACTTTGCTCTCATAAAATCAAATCTTGGTTTTTCTCGAATTCTCGTTAGGACAACGTTGAGCCATCACCCAGTCAGCCAAAAATATTTGCCACAATTGCTTTGTTATGGATTACATTTATTTTGAAAGTAACAGAAATGGTGCAGTTTGAAATTTCAGTGTGTATATGTAGACATGATGTAATATTATATTTATGATGTAATATATACATTTTGTTCTGTCAAACTGTTTGTGGATCTTTTCATTTTAGGTCACCTTGCATTGATTTATCATTTTAAATCATTGGTACGTTCTTTAAAGGATCAAATACAAGTCAACCGTTGTCCCCTAACCCTAAAATACTGGAAAATACTGCCGTCACTGTGACAGACACGTACAGACTGACTGTCGCAGCATTCAGAATTCAAACCTTATGCAGCGATGTACACTCCAGCAGCTGGATCAGGGCAGGGTTAATCTTGCAGTTGTTGAAGTTGACCCTCTCATCAAGTTGCCTTGCCTCCCAGTCTGTAATCTGCGAGTCAACAAGAGTGAAACTCCTTTTCAGCATCCCGTGTCGGATTGATCATAGCAGTTAGTGATCTACATTATTTTGCCTTAAGATGACTTTAGTTTGTAATAAATGATTCGCTTACAGTAATGCAGCCTGTCATTCTTGGCCTAAAGTGTATTTTTTGAATAATTAGGCCTCATCTTGTCTTAAACACCAACAGAGCAATCTGCTGTCACACTGCTGGCTAAGACAACCTGAAAACAGTTTTCAAACTCTTGTTTTTGCAGATGTTTCGCCTCTTATCCAAGAGAATTCCTCATTTTTAATCTGAACAGGGGGCTGCGTGGAAACGTTTGTATCCCCCCATTTTCTCACGTCCCAGAGCAACGAACACTCTGCTGCGACGCTTGTGACCTGCTCATTGGTTGTTCTGTCTGTGTGGATTGTCTGAACATCTTACCTCACCAGTGGGATCTTGAACATCTCGATCATCTTGTACCTGAGAAGCAACAGAAAGCAACGATAGTCAGCGTGTACACCGAAAACAATAACACAACTCGGTGTGAATGCCACAAACACAGGCAAACAACAGCCCTCAGCAGGTTGGTACCTCCATAAACATCTGTGCACAGAAGATGGACAAAATGACACGAGTCACTGAATGACTACAAGCACATCAACACTGCAACTTAAAGCTGATGCTGTTTGACGTCCAGTGTCAAACTACCAACGCTGTGCTCTGCAGCAATCTGCCAACAATACTCCAGAGGTCTGAGTGAGACTATGTTGGGACACCTTTCTGCAGGGTGGGTGGGTGGGTGTCACTCTCTTACCTCTTCTGCATCTGAACTAGCACAGAAAATGCTTCTCAGTGTGACTCCTGATTCATCTCGTGAGCCTGCATCAGAGACAGAGACACTAGAGTTGCAACACAGTCAGCAGGTGCAGCATCGTGAGCTCAGGCAGTGAAGCTGGTTTGTCTTGTATTTTTAATCAGTGGCCACAAAGCAAACGTTTAAAGTGTGAGCTAGAAAAACCGGTGTGCTTGTTTATACCTATTTAATTCAAACAGTTTCAGGAGCTGCTCGTCACATAAGCAGCAGAGAGAGCAAACCCACACTTCTATTGAATTTCTATTTCCTTTTGTTTCTAGCCACATCAGTCTG